AAAAGGCTTGAAAGAATTGAAAATCATTAAGAACTCCAAAGTTTTCTCGGTGACTCGATTATGAAAACTCCCAAGTGTTGGAAGGCAATAGATTTTGAGGAATGTCTAGAGCCTCAAGCTTTGAATCCTCATTTGAATCTTAGGTATGAATTGTTACAAATGTTAACAAAAGCGGTACCTCCTAGTAAGATGTGGTTCAGAGACGAATCAACGATGAAGTTGGTGTTGCCACCTCTTAGATTATTAACCTTCTTAGACAATCCGTCATTAAAAAAAAAAGGTTGGAAACCGACTAAAAAAGGCTAAACGTCGATAAAAACATGACCAAAATGGGAGAAAACAAAAGGAAAAGAAAGAATCTTAGCTTCGAACTCAGACCAGAGGCTCGAACTTCAAACCGGTTGAACTCGGCTTGCGTTAGTTCCTTGGCTTGGTGGCTCCGACTCAATTTCCACTACTTAGATTGCTCAAAATGAATTCTCGGGACCTTTCCAACCATATTGAACTTTTGGAGCCATTTTTAAGTTCCTAGAAGCATTTGAGGCCAGGATAACCATTGATTAGTCAAGTTAAGTTTTTTTAGCAAAAAAAAATATAGTTAACGGTACAGTTAGGTGAGTTGAATCGTTTATTATGTCTTAATCTGATGTCATGGACCCACGTGTATTGAATTGGGTTATAAATGACATATCTAGACTAGCACAAGGATAAATTAGTGAATTCGGCTTAGGCCCACCAAATAATTTTTGTTGTTGGCTTGGTTGGATGACTTGTTTGTGTTCAGATATAATATTTAGCGAATATTTTATTTATGAAATATATCTTAGATATTATATCTTAATATTCGTTCCTTTATGATTTAATTTAGAGTATATTTTATTTTATATTCAATATTTAATTAGTTTATATTTTACTTATTTGTACGTGGCTCGCGTGTATCCTATTTAAAGTTTATGAATATAAATGAGAACATACCTTCGATTCAGTTCTATTTCTCATTCTTAACAATTTTCTATATGGATGACGTGCTATGATCCCTACACATGTCATGTTTTATAATTGCTAGACGTGTGTTATGTTATGTTTATACAATGATATATGTTATAAGTTATATTATGTTACATTCATGTTATGATGCATGAATCCCTATGTATCATGTCATGTAAACTAGGTTAATACGCCCAATCTATACCTATGAGACATTAGAAAGTCGGGTATGTTAACTGTGAAATATATGACAAGTAATACGTTTATGTATCTCATAGGAACACTATGTAAAAAAAAAAAAAAAAAAAGGAAAGGAGGAATGACTCACATTATAAGTAAGTATGTCATGTTTTGACGTTATGGAACCTCATGCATCGGGATACAATTGTTGTTTATTTAAGAGTTTAAATCCATGACATCGTTTATGAAATAAACTCGATTTAAACAATTAGCAGTATATTTTGAGTGATTTTGAACATAAACAAATGTTGATAAAATAAACCCTAATTTATATGGAATTCATATACTTCTAAAGTTTTTACTCTTAAAATTTACAGATTTAGTACGGCCTGTACAATAGCCTAACACATTGACTTCCAAACTTGTGAAGAATCAAATGCTATTTAATTTTATAAGTAATGTGATTTATAGCGGTTTAATTGGACTAAAAAAATGATTTAGAATCAGATTCCATTTAAGTTTGACTAAAAATGTGATTTAGATTCGGATCCTAATTCATTTTACTAAATAATTTGATGTCAAACATATCAATTATATGTTAGGTTATGGAGCTACTTATTTATAGCTTAGTCAACTGTTATATATAGTAAAGCTATATGGTAGATGTAAAGTACATTTAAATAAAAGCTATATCCGGTTATACATGGTAGAGTAGATGGTAGCTATAACTATATATATATATATCCCTCCAGCAAAGATTTGAGAATATGCTTTCTATATTCTATTCTCTCTTACTGGATATTAATACAAAATCTTTAACCAATATTCTCTTTACATTTTCTCTATCATGTTCTTTGTGTTCATCTAAATCAAGTGTGTGTTGTTGTCCGATCCTAACATAATCGTTGAACTATACTCACATCATCGATTAGATTCTTAAATGTAAATGTTTTTATAACCTAATTGCATCTCATTCCTTGTTATTCATGCTCCTATCTAAATCAAAGTTAATAGTTAATTGAATTTAATATATGTGGGTTCGTCCTTATCTTTTTCGATACAGTCCAAAATTTAAAATCTTGAAAATCAGATCGTAACAAAATTATAAACACGATTTTTTTTTTTTTTTTTTTTTTTTTTTTTTTTTTTTTGAAGTTTATCACTTTTGTGAAAGTTACGAGGTTAATATGTGCGTTTGTTAGACTTACTTTAGTGCAAAATTTTATTATTAAAATTAATGATATTTTTATATTGTTTTTTTAAATTATCGACTGAATTAATGCAAAGAGCCTCCACGATCCAAACTAGCTATAAATATCACTACATAATTATCAAAGCATCTCATTGTCACCAAAAGTAAAAGGGATTGAAAAAGATGGATGAAGAAATCATTCTTCCTTCAGGTGTGTAGAACTCCTTCTCACTCTGGGCGTTTCATTAACTCTTTTTTGTCCCTCTTTTCTTATACGATTCGATTACTTAGGTAAATTCTCGTGGTTGGAACTCATATTCTTCGAATCCTTCATTGCAGTACGTCTTATAGAGAAGATAATCCAGACGTAAAGACAATCGTGCTATTGGCTAGAATTGGAGGGGACTAAATATTTCAGATACGATCAAGTTCGAGTTTTTGTTAATATAAACGATAAAGTCGTTGAAGTTCCTCAAATTGGTTGAAATAATTTGAATATCTATATTTGAAACAATTAAGACAGTGATTAAATAAGGTAGAATCTACCTTTCTACCATAATATTTGAATTATATGTATAGTTTATTTGAATGTTTGTTTGGCATTTAAATATTTGTACGCTCATGGAAGCAACTTCTCTTTATAATTCAAAGGGCCAACTTCGTCATTCAAAACAAATTTTGTATTAGGCTTCTTAGTGTTATCATCTTCATAAGTCTACACAAAGAAATAGTTTGGAGAGTTCCTTATTGCTCCAACAAACAACATTCTTATGACACCATAAAATTTATGCATATCAAGAAACGACCCTATTCATACCAACTCATAATCATAAAAGAATACAAATGCAAATTCTTGTCAATCTTTTAATAATTTCTATATTGTATGACTTTGATATGCAAAGTTTAAATATGTGCTCCCTCGAGTGAATTCATCTTTCTTCTGCCCTCAAAGAAATAATGACGAAAAAAGAGTACAAACTCTTCGAAATGGTGAAAAAGAAGATATATTAGAAAAGTTAAAGTTTCATTAGAGAGCGTTATCAAATACAAAGTGAAACACAAATGCGAACAGAATTCAAGATAAATTAATACTTCTGCCTTTATTGGGTTACACTAATACTTTAGAAAATGAAGGTAAATATACAATATTGATCCAGACAAACAGAAACATCAACATTTTTTTTTAGTTTTTTAATTACCCCATTGTATTAACATTCGAACTTGACCCCACCTAAGATTTTGGTTTTAGTAACGTAGAGATGGAAAACAAATATAAGTACTAAAATCATAAAGAGAAATTAGGGGACTTGCAATTTGGAACTTGGCTAATACATGTCTTATCGGACACTGACTTCTTTAGTTGCAATCATTGACACTATTTCTCTGTTGCGAATAACTCTTTTTAGGCGGGTATCTAGTACACCTTTTGATTATTTGTTGCCCAATTTGACATCACAAGCTTTTGACAAATGAGCTTGGCTTGAGCTTCTGACGGGTAAGGGTCCTCTTCAAGGAGTTTGGCTTCAACCCTCGTTTTTTTTTTTCTCGTTTTTTTTTTTTTTTTTACTATTTTTCCTGATGACTATACACTCAAAATGTAGCTCTGATGTCAACTGACAATGCTGACAGTGTCATACTTTTTTAACCGTATGACATCAGGGTTGAAAAGGTACGATGTTTTCTTCATTTGTAATTAATTTGAATAATATCATCTTATAATTGAATTTTATATTGTACTTAATTTTGGTCTTCTTTGTCATTATTTCGATTTAACTTATATGAAATTTTCATCTTTGATTTTTATTTACTTGTTAGTCATAGTCCGAGTTTGAAAGCCTAAAAAATCAGACCATGACAAATTCCCACCTCCTATCACTGGTGTCACGAGTTTCACCAATTTATTTCTAAATTCCGATAAGTTTTTTATTCCTTTTCCATTCTTTTTTAATTTTCATAATTTTCTATAAGTAACTCGAACAAACTTGGTTCTTTCACCAAAGTTGTGAAATCAACTTTGTTCTTTCGCAAAAGTTGTGTAATCAACTTAGTTCATTCGCGAAAGTGGTAGAATTTTAATCAATTATTTTTCTATTAATTTAAAATCAAGCTTATGAAGAAATATTCAAATTCAAAGTTGGTCTAAACTCAACTTTGTGGCTCCATTCAACTTGAGTTTTCTTTATGAAACTGATGTGAAATTCCCCTAACAACCAACCAAAAATTCAGAACCTAGTTTCAAGAAATCCTTTTGGATCTTACCAAAAACCAAAACTAAAAATCCAAAATCTATTTCTTATGTTCTTCCTCCATTCTTGACATATTTAGTGATCCATTCTTGACATATTTAGTGATTCAAAAGCCTATAATGATTCTCGGAAGACAATAAAGAACTTCAACAAAAATTTTACTCACGAAACCACCTTTTGGAACAAATTTGAGTTTCTCTTCACTTCTTTATTAAAACCATAAACGGTTCATTCTTAATTGCAAGAAAGTAAAAATGAACATTTTGTATCTTGGTTGACCGACTTAAAAGTAATATATGATATTTAATATCTTACTTGGGCTCGAGTGTTAAAGAGAGAAAAGGCGGGAGTGAGAGTTAGAGAGAGAGAAAAAAAGAGTTTGTCGGAGAAAAAAATAAAGACGAACTCGAAGGGCCATTAAAGAGAATTCTCAAATACCATGGAGAAACACAAAAGAAAAGGAAATTGATCATTGAAATGGTAGAATTCAATAGATATGAATACTTCTACCCTTATTGGCTTACAATAACACTTAAAAGAAAATCAATACATATCAATACATCAACATTTTTATGTAGTTTTTTTCTAACCAATGGTTGGAGTTTGAACGATTATTCCCTTTATATTAATAAACATCCTAATCCGATCGCACCTAAGATCTTCAGTCACTGCACTTCCAGTTAAGATAGTCTCGACACGTTTCACATTGTAATTGTCTTTCCTGATGATATGCTTTGCAATTGTTGATTCAATCCCAACAAGTTCTGGCCACCTATTCTTTCCTATAAAACCAAACTAAATAATTAAATCAACTATCATACAAGCAACTTAATTTTCAAAATCAAATCGAAACTATACGACCTCGTGCAGTCCAGTTAGGTAAATATACCAGGAGGACAAAAATCAGCCATGAAGTTGATGGATGGGTTTTTGGATATCTATGTATTTGTTGAATGGTAGTGTTTGGATAATGCAAATATCAAAGGGTTATGTATGAATATTTATAGGGAATGATCTGATGATGGCTTCCCAAATTGGGAAGGAACTAAGGGCAGGCCGCCCCAACTTTTGGACCATATAATAAACTTAATATATAATTATCTCTAAAGTTTGACCACGTTATCTTATTGCTAAAGACATGTGGGAGAGGAGGAGGATGCGATAAGAATGAATTTTTAAGTGAGGCTGCCGTGCGTTAATTGTATTTGGCATTTAATGCAATTTGTCCCGTGAAGGAGAAATTTATTCAACAAGTTGTGACAATGTACTTAATTGTTTTGTAACGTTGAACTATCGTTTATCTAACGCGATAAGACTATCAATTATATGATGGAAGGATGACTACTCACACAATTCATACACTTGATTGAGATGAAGAACACGACAAATAAAAGAGAGAAAATGTAAGGAGAAATATACTTAGTACGATCGAGATTGGTATACTCTACTGCGGCTATGAGTTTATTTGGTCAACCAATTTATATTTTATTTATAAAAGAGGTGGCTTTTATTTTCTAAGTTTACATGGGATATTATCTCTAACTTTTTTTTGAGTTCTAAAAGAAGGTTGCCAATATAATATTCCATTTCTTAAAAGAGCCTCCAACATCCAAACTTGCTATAAATTTCACTACCTAATTATCAAACCATCTCATTCAACTTTGAGCAAAAGTAAAAGGGATTGAAGAAGATGGATGAAGAAATCACTCTTCCTTCAGGTTTGTAGAACTCCTTCTCACTCGGGCGTTTCATTAACTCTTTTTCGTCCCTCTTTTCTTATAAGATTCAATTACTTAGGTAAATCTTCGTGGCCGGAACTCGTATTCATCGAATCCTCCATTGCAGTACGTCTTATAAAGAAAGATAATTCTCATGTAAAGACAATCGTACTATTAGCTGGGTCTGGAGTTACTAAAGATTTCAGACTCGATCGAGTTCGAGTTTTTGTTAATATAAATGATAAGGTAGTTGAAGTTCCTCAAGTTGGTTGAAATTTGAATATCTATATTTGAAACAAGTAAGACTAATTAAATAAGGTAGAATCTACCTTTCTACCGTAATATTTGAATTATAGGTATGGTTTATTTGAATGTTTGTATGCCATTTAAATATTTGTATGCACATGGGAGCAACTTTTCTTTAATGGCTTAAAGTTTTAATTTTAACATGAATAATTCCGATTCATCTAGTATTCTATTATGGATTGTAATGTTATCTTCGTCATTAAAAATAAATTATCTATTAGACCTTATAATGTTATTATCATCAAAAGAATGAACGATCTTTGTGCCTGCTACTAGTGTAATTTTTGTTCGGATATTTGTCCTTCTTTAAGTACGCTCACGATTAAGAAATAGTTGGAGATATCTTAATTGTCCCCACATACAACATTCTTATGATACGACAAAACTTATACATATCAGGGCACGACTCGATCCATACTAACTCATAATCATAAAAAAAAATACAAATGCAGACTCTTATCAATCGAGACGAGTTCATTATCAAAGATTAACGGACTATCTTTTAATAGTTCACATACTGTATAGCTTTGATGTTGAAAATTTAAATCTCTACTCCAATTGAATGAATTCATGTTTATTCGGCCATCAAAGAAATAATGAGAAAAAAGGGTGCAAACTGAAGGGGTATACTTGAAAAACTGAAGTGCCATTTGAATTGACCATTGAAGAGGTAGAATTCAAGATAGGTTAGTCCTTCTGCCTTTATTGGATTCTAATAATACTTTAGAAAACGAAGGTGAATACACAACGGTGATCATTTCGATTTATCGAATCTGCCCTTCTCTCGGACTCAATCTGGGATTTACTTGATAAACCATGACAAAACTAGTAACGTCATCTCTTCGCTTGACAAAACTAGTAATGTCATCTCTTCACTTGAGCTAGGGGTGAGCATCCTAAATATCATTCAACTTTGTGTTTTTAACTCATAAATAAATGATTAGAATACATATTACTAGGAAGAAACGAAACATTTTTTTATAAAATGTGGAAACTTCTCCCTAACTTAAGCTTTTTAAAAACTTTGAGAGGAAGCTTAAAAAGAAATGTCTAAAGAGGACAATATATGCTATGCTAGCGGTGAGCATGGACTGTTGTGAATGATATTAGAGCTAGACACCGGACGATATGCCACCGAGAAGATTGGAAGGGGGTGGACATGAGGCAGTGTGCACCGGGCGATGTGCCAACGAGGAGGTTGAATCCCGAAAGGGGTGGATACGAGGCAGTGTGCTAACAAGGATGTTGGGCCCTAAAGGGGATGGATTGGGGGTCCCACATCGATTGGAGAAGGGAACGAGTGCCAGCGAAAACACTAAGCTCCAAAGGGGGTGAATTGTGAGATCCCACATGGGTTGGGGTGGAGAACGAACCATTCTTTATAGGATGTGAAAACCTCTCCTACATTTTAAAAACGTTGAGGGGAAGCTGAGACAGAAAACCTAAAAAGGACCATATGTGCTGAATTACATCATCCTTATTGACATTTTGTCTTATTACCCCCAAAGAAGATGAATTTAGGAAGTCAAGCAGTAGAAACATGTTCCACTTTATTTAAACATTGTCTACTTTGATCACGAGCACTAATGACTTTGCTTTTATGACCACGAACTCTAATGACTTCGCTTTTATTTCTCCTAAAGGTTTTATAACAACTAAGACAGTGTTCCTTATACTCTCATGATCTTCCTAACTAATTTAAGTTAATTTTAGGATGTACTAATGACGGGAACCTTTTCGACCTTTCCCTCGACGTCAAGAACGACTTCAACAACCGCGAGGCCGGGAGGAACTGCGTATGGCGGGCGGCCTGAGACTGCTTGGTAGCCTATGATACTGCCATCGGGACCATATAATGGTTTGGATATGATCTCTGGCCCAGCTTGTAAGACTACGACCACATTCGGATTCTCTTCCTCTATGATCTTTACAGCCTTATTCCCATCTTCGCCCACCAGCTCAGGCCAAGACCTCTTTCCTAAGCAAATGAGGCATTTAAAAACTTGACCAAAAAATTGATTGAAAGGAAGAGGGTGTATTATGGGCAGTTTTGTGATGTCCCACGTTGGTTGAGGAGAACAAAACCTTTTCCTAGCAGACGCGTTTTAAAACCTTGAGGGGAAGCTCGAAAGAGAAAGCCCAAAGAGAACAATATATGCTAGCGGTGGGCCTGGGTCGTTACAAATGGTATCAGAGCCAGACACCGGACAATGTGCCAACTTTCTCGCTGTTCCCCAAAAGGGGGTAGACACGAGGTGGTGTGCCAATAAAGACGCTGGCCCTAAAGGGGGGTGGATTTGAGGGTGGTCCCACATCGATTGGAGGAAGGAAAGAATGCCAACGAAGATGCTGGGTCCGAAAGGGGGTGGATTGTGATGTCCCACATTGGTTGGGGAGGAGAACAAAACTTTTCCCTAGCGCAGATGCGTTTTAAATCCTTGAGGAGAAGCCCGAAAGGGAAAGTCCAAAGAGGACAATATCTGCTAGCGGTGGACCTAGGTCGTTACACCTGAATTTCCTTCCTCACACATCTTTTTGCTTTCTTCCTTCTGAATTCAGGCTTGGTTAGTTGTTTAAGTTAATGAAGTGATTATAAATAGGCAATTTTGGAATAAATTAATGTCACTCTTTTCTTTGATTGATTAGAGAATATATACTCTTATTCCAAAATTTAAGAACTCAAGAATAAATTAATGTACCTATTAATCTAATTCAATGAAAGATTATTTTGTAAAATAAGGTAGATTTGAGATCCTACATTGGTTAGAGAAGGGAACGAAGTATTTTTTATAGAGGTGCAGAAACTTCTCCCTATCAGATGTGTTTTAAAATCGTGAGGCTAACGGGCCAAATTGGACAATATTTATTAGTGCTGGGTTTGATCTATTACAAATGGTATCAGAGCCAGACACCAGGCAGTGTGTCAGCGAGAACGTTGAGCCTCCAAGAGAGGTGGATTGTGAGATCTCACATTGGTTGGAGAGGAGAACAAAGCATTCCTTACGAAGGTATGGAAACCTCTCCCTAGCAAACGTGTTTTAAAATTGTGAGACTAATAGAGATCTATGATACAGGCCAAAGCACGCAACATGTGCTAGCAGTGGGCCTTGACTATTACAATGGAAAAGATAATATTACTCTAATTCAATCAATTTATAGATAATTGAATCTAATAGATATAAATCGATATGAATGGACAAAAGTTATTAGATTTTTATACGATTTTTTTAATGTAATTTTATCCCTTCGAACTTCAATCTTATTTTGAAGACATCTAAATAAACTCTAACCATTGTGGTTTCTTACATCGGTGAGTCTTCACTTATACAAGGTGTCTTTTCTCTTTTGTTCTTTTGTGGATTTTAATGTGAGTTGTGTGATTCTAACAAATGGTATCCGAACAAGGGAAGATTTACTACAATCTGTAAAGATGGAAAGTTTAAAGATTGGGATCAAAAAGTTTGATGGATCCAGTTTCAATTTCTGTAAGATGCAAATTGAAGATTTAGTGTACCATAAAAATCTTCTCGGATCCTTATCCAGGGTGAAGCAAGATTCTCATGACTATGGAGCAGTGGAAGCTCATAGATCCGTAATATCTAGGGTTGGTTTAGTTGATTCTCTCCTGAAATAGGTTGGAAGCTCAAAAATCAGAAGGCTCTAGGGTTGATCCAGTCTACATTGTCTTGAAATACAATCCAAGCTCAAATATCGGTAGGCTCAAGAGTTGATCTAGTTGTCGCTATCATAAAATGGGTGGAAGCTCAAAAACTGGTAGACTCCAGGATTGATCCAGTTGAAATTATCTTGAAACATAGTGGAAGCTCAAAAATCGATAGACTCTGGAATTGATCTAGTTAACGTTGTCCTGAAATATAGTGGAAGCTTAAGGATTGTTAGACTCCAAGATTAAGTCCAACTCCCCACTTTCTGAATGTAACATATGTTTGACAACTTTTATTTTCTTTTTAATTTTGGGTCGAGAAGTAGAAACATGCTCAACTTTATTTAGACATTTATTTATTGTATCGACCATACATATTCAAGACATTTCAACCATTACGAGGAACTTTAACCACAATATTTTGTATATTGACAAGAAGAAAAACTCGAAAGGGTATATAATATGGTGGCACTGGAAATGCTACCGATTGCACCTCTGGCCGCCATCGAGAACATCTTTATAAAATTTATTGCAATAGCCGCATCAACATAGAGGAATTCTGGCCATGATTTACCTAATTTGAATCATAATATTAGAAACATGTTAGTATCATTTAATTGATTGAGATTTACTTCGAACCTAATGAAAAATTTCCATTTATTTTTGACGTGGATTCACTTCGACCCATCGAAATCTACAGTTAGATCCCTACAAAAATAAATAGGTAATGACACGGATAGGATTTACCTATCTTCGCCTATGGACCTCTCTAATACAACGAAGAATTTAGAGGGACAAATTACTGGTCTTACCTACTTATTTCAACTATATCGAACATCTTAGAATCGCGATCTATTTGTTGATCGAAGATGGTATGAGATGTTTTGTATTGGTTGAATAATGACATATTAATATAGCAATATTTTATGGTATAATTTGAAATTTGTGACCACGTTTCCTATATATTCCCGTATTCAAAAAGTGAAACCACTCGGTATATATTCTTGTATAAACAAAGTCAAATCTAAGACCAAAAAGAAAAGTTTTATATTATAATATAAGATGGATTTTTAAGAAAATGAAGTTTGTTGAGCGTATCAATGAAAGTTTACATTGAAGCCGAATATTTTTCGGTCGATGACATATAGTTAAACAAATTGAGTGAGTTAGTGAAACTTCAAATATATGGTACTTTATTTAAAACAATAACGAATAGGATTAGAGGCAATTGCATGAATGAATTCTCATCTCCATTTCTTGTTAGGAGTGTTCGTGGGTTGAATTGGGTCGGGTTGAGACCGTTTTTAGACTCAACCAAATTGTTCAAGTTGTAAATTTATCGATCGAAACAACCTTATTAACTAATGAACCAAGCCCAACCCTACCATAAATCTTTTGAATTGGATTTGGTTTAGGTTGTAAAATTCTCCAACCCAAACAATCTTATGAGTACTATTCTCGTAAGATTGGTTCAAGTTGTAAATCTTTTGGATTGAATGATGATATTCAAACATCAAATGAGTACTATCTCAATGTGTAAAATTTTCAAATTTTTTTTTGTTGTTGTTGGGAACGACGGTATATATAGGTGATTTTGGAATAACTCAACCTAATCTTTAATTATTTTATTGTTACGATAAAATAGTCCCGTAATTTGAGGATGGATGCCTTCTCACAAAGGAGGTTGCAATGATGAGCAATTGTTTACCAAAAATATAGCTCTCCACAAAGTCCTAAAGACTTCTTACAAAAAGAACAAAAATAAAAAAATAAAAAATATTTGTTATCCACAAAAAGGTTATCCGGATTTGGCATCGACATAAAGTGCTAGTCCTGTTACCTAATATTTTGGCATTTTTTGTTTTTAAATTGAATGATGATATTCAAACATTAAATGGATACTATTCTGGACGTATAAATGTTTCTAAGCTTTTCAAGTCATTTTGGATGCGTTTTTCTCGTTCTCGATTAATTTTAAAATGAAATTTCGTGTTTATCTACTAGATACTCATATATTTGAGATTAAGGTGAGAAACACACCTTAATTTACTTTATTTACTTTATTACAAGTATGGTGTCACATATAGTTAAGGGTGCTTAGCCAATTCGAGGGGTCGAATTCACCTTTCCACAATGGTCAACAAAGACTCGGACTCGATTGAACACAAAGTTGGGAAATGCCCAGTTTTGACCTCGTGGCATTAGAATTACGTCGAGAGAAGGATTCTCTTGCTGTATTATCTTCATTGCTTCCTCCCCATCCATCCCCACCAACTCTGGCCAACGCCACTTCTCCTCATTCAACATAACTTCACCATATAATCTATACTTATTAGATACATAAAATGATATCAATACATATTGAACTAATATCAATACATCATTGCATTAAAAATTACTACCTGACATTGTTTTCGATGTTGCAAATTTGCCGAGCTTAGTTGTTTAAGTTAACGAAATCAATATATATAGACAATTTTGGAATAATTCAACCTAATATTTTATTACTTTATTGTTAAGAGAATACATTTTAATTTCAAATTTTAACTTAAGGAATAAAATAAAATTTAAATTCGGAACTTTTTCGAGACTTACGGTAAAGTTATAATATTGTTATCTATATAACAATTTCGAATATGATATAAGTATGATAAAAGCTTTACGAAGGAGAATGAATTATTTATTCCCATATCTTTGTTTAATTTTATTACGAATTAAAAATAAAACATTACACGTAGCTTTCCAAAAAAACCTTATTCGACATGTCTCTTGAATATTTTCCTAAGATATGAAACTCTTTATTCGTCCATGACTTAAAACTTCCTCCCCAAGATATTTCTACAACAAATATTTTCTACGGGCTCAAAAAGATTTGGTCAAAAAAAAAATCTAAGAGGTATATTTGGAAGATATAATATTTTAATATATATTTAACGTGAATCTCATGTAATATACATTAATTATTTTAATATTTAATATAGTAAATATAAAAATATATATTTTATATTTAATATATTTAATACACTAAATATTAATTTCAACCGGTCAAATTAAATATATTACTTTTAAAAGCTCCCCCAACCAACTCCTTTCTCTCTTTCAGTGTTACAATAGAGTTACTTTATGGTTAAGTCTTGGTTGGCTGATTACTGCAAGTTTTATGATTTAACTCGAAGGAAAGATCGGCATCACAAAAATGGCTATTCTAGTAAGTCATGTTCTTCAATTCCTTTTTATCAAGTGTGTTAATTTTCATAGTAATTGTTTAAATATGTGTTTAAGGAATTTTTCATATGGTTCGTCCAAATTAGAAATTAGGAGTATTTTAATTTTTTATGTGATAGTTCTATCAATTTTAACGTTAGAAAAATAAACGTCAAAATTAGCAATTTTTAATAGGAATTTACGAGGCAAAAGCATGTGATATGTGAACTCTCTCAATAAACGGGGTTCAAAAATTGTATTAGATAGATTAGTAATACAGGGATGTGCCTTAAACGCATGTGTTAAGTAATGTCAACAGATTATTACGTGGAGACTGTTTAGAAAATCTCCGGCTATCCTTTGGCTATGAACTTGTTCTTATAATTTATAATAGTTGACCGGTACCGAAATCACTCCCACATGATTATAACTAGGAATTGTTATAGAGTCGTCAATTAATCTTTAATAGTGATTTATCTCGTACGACAAGATTTGAATATATCATGGAGTTAGGCTATTCGAGAGGTTCTCACACATAGACCTACATACTTTGAACTGATAACCTATAAAAATAAATAGTATAGCTAGAACATATGAACAATAGTCAATCCAATCATTACTATAAGCTTTGGGAAGTTCGGTCACATGAATACAACAATTGACATAAGCTCTTAAGAGTTAAATGACGAGTAATTAGTGGTTAAAAACTCTATTATTT